AAAGATTAATTCGTATATTTGTTGTTGTTAACATTATCAAATCAAATTTTATAATTTTCATCAATTAATAATATCATAATGAATTGTCACCATTGTATATTTTAGTTGATTGGTTTGCTGTTATCATTGTTGGAATGACAATTGTCGCAATTGTTATCACTGCTATTTGCTATTGTTTCATTCATTTTTGCATGATATGCATTGATTATTATCAGCAAATACAACATGCAAGTGAAGTGTTAAGGTTGAAAAAAGCTGCTGAAAAAAGAATTGCACTGCAATATCAATATCAGCAGCAAAGAATGGAACGAAAAATTATGAAAGATAATATTAAAAAGAAATATGGTTTGTATTATGAAAATTTTTTATCAAAAAAAAAAAATCATATTCTTATTCAACAATCAAAAAAAATATTTCAAAAATATTCTACTATTTTAATAGCTATAAAAAAAAATACTCAATAATTTAAACTTACTATAGGAATAAGTAAGTAGTGATAGAAAATTATCAATTAAAATAGTTTTTTATAATGTAATCTTCAAGAGAGTAAACAAGATGCATTCTTATCTAAAAAAAAAAATTAAGTTGTACTAAAATCAACAATTTCATGCTATTTTCAGGTATCCCACTAACAACACCAGCATTTGAAAAATTCAAATGATGTAGGAAATAGATAAAATATAAATATAAGCTATAATGATTACTGAATTTGTAATTATCATATTGTTTAATTTAAAGATGAATGTAGTATATAAATTAATATATGTTATCATAACAGTAGTACTGATATTAATCACTGGAAATTAGAAAATCTAGTATCTTATCAGGTTTTTTTTCTACTTGTTTGAATCACAATAAATGTAAGTATCTGTGATGATGAACTTTTATTCTTGCAAATTAGGAAACAAATCATGATTTTTCTAAGGATCCGATAATGCTTTTGTATAATTAAAATATTACATGCAAGTTTATTAAAATAAAACTTTGAAATTTGACACAGTTGTCAAAAGCAAAGAAATTCATAAAATTCGATTTGTTTGATATTATATCAAAAGAGGTAGATAATGTGATTACATCTAAATTGTATTGATTCTAATTACAACATAAATTTATTGGTAAAAATTTTGCAAAAATAGCAAATAACTGCAAATCGATCATCTCATCAATCATTATTCTATAGTTCTTGCTCGAATAAAAATAATATCATAAAATTTTCACATAAATAAATGTGCTAAAATATGAAAGATAAAATTAATTAGAAATTTTTTGTATCCCATCAAGAGTAGACGTTGTATTCATACGAATTACTTACTGAAAGTGTTAAAGATATGAGAGATCTATTATAAAAACTCAGAAATTCTAAAGAAATTAGAATTAATAAAAGCACAATATTCAGTAAAAATATTTGCTTAATAGAGCAAACTGTGCATGAAAAAAAAAAAAAAACTTAGAAAGATTGAAGATCAGAAAAGGAAATATGAACTGAATAACTAAATTAATTAATTCCTCACAAAGGTAGCACAGAAGGCAATGTTGAAAATGAGTGAATGAATTTTAGATTTCTTCAATGAAAATTCATAATGTCCTTCCCTATCATGGTTCTAATAAGAACATACTCAAAATACTAATAATTAGTATAGAATAAATATCAAAGGAAAAAATTTCAGGTACTCATAAAACAATTCATTCAACTGTACAGGAGGCGTGCAGATAAAAAACAATGAGTGCAATAAAGATAACAATGATCACAAAATTCGAAATGCCCATAACATTATTGATAATATAATTCAAAATTAAAACCATCATGTATCTCGTAATCTTGCAGTGTTATATGATCCTTATAAATTGTATACCATTTCTTTAGCACTATTTTTTCATATCTGAAAAATTAATCTATAGAATAAGTACTTTAAAATAATTAATTGCTTCTTAGATTAGTCAATTTTAATTATAAATAAAAAAAAAATAGAATTTCTCACTTACCGTGTACCAGTTTGTGCAGCGATAAGTTTCTTTAAATCACCAATTGTATCGTTTGGATTGCATTTAATTCTAACTTTTTTTCCCAATCGATCATTCACCGTAATCTCAATCATTTTTTATATGCCTAGAAATTATTATAAATAGTATCTTCCCTGCTTTAAAATATTCCTAAACGGCGATTCTCATTTTTTATAGTTACTTGTTGTCCTCAATTAATCCACTTAATGAATCCAATAGTGGTAAAAATTTAGAGAACTAAAAATCGGAATTCCAAATTCCTATATTTGTTTTGAAAAATATGCAAAGATGGAACTAATAGACTTTAGCGAGTCTTTTTTTTTTTTTTTGTAAACAAAAATCACTTCAAGAATTTATTAAAAGAAAGCAATATACTATGAGTAGATCATCAAAATGAAAAAAAAAAATAAGAATTTAAACTCTACGAAGACTATTGCGTCCCATCAATTTTAAAATGTGATGTATTTCACTACCACAAATAGTAGAAAGTATTATATCTTTTCATTATATGAAACATTCTTCCGACTTTAAATGACTTTAAAGTCAGACACTTTTCCCTCTTGGTGTTTTTTAATAAAATTAATAAAACGATCCATAAGTTTCCATATTCCTATCTTTCATGCGAAGCATTTTTAAATATTTGCAAAGTAGTTAAATTTTTGAAAAAACCACATTCACATTCAAACGAATCTGCAAAATAATTTTATTTAATCTAAAATTATCAGTGTCAAATGTTTCGCATAATACATGAGATATACAAAAGAATACAGGAAGAATAAACTGATACAACAACTATTTAATCAGTAATTTTAAGAAGTGAATTTATGCGTTTTTTCCAACTCAACAAAGGAATGAAGGTATCAGTGAATGGAAATAAAAATCATTGAATCGGAAGCTTTACTATAAAATCTAAAGATGTGTTCCATGAAGTTTCTTCTGAATTTGAAGATTCATATGCAATTCCGGTTGAATATCACAGACTAGCTGTAGTAAACGTACGATTACCTGGAATATATGAAATTTTTAAACAGGTTAGTGTCAAAATTTGTCACTGTCTTATTAAACTTCAAATGATCCACTTGATTACGTTGTTTTCTAAATTTGTATATTGGATTTCAGCTTGATATGCAGCCTTACAATTATTAATTTATTCAGTACAAATTTTACTGAATCGAAAAATTCACTTTACAAATAACAGACCTGCTGCTTATTCTTTGCGACAGATTTTTCCATCTGTTTGATGCTTTCTTCAGTTTCCTGTTTGATTTTCATTTCAATATCTTCCTTCTTACCGAGATATTTATGCTCATATTCTTTGAATTGACGTTCTCGTTCCTACAGAAATACAAATATTAGGTACTCTCTGTCGGGTATTCTAAAATGGTTACGAAATGCAGTGATCCTTACCAAAATGTTGAAACATAAAGTGTGAAATGATTATAATTATATAGTAATTAAAAATAACGAATGCTGATAAAGTTAATCTAGACCGATCTCCTACAACTTAAGGTTACTAAATTATCCACATAAACTGACTGAATGATCTCATAATTCTATTATTCATTGACTCATCAATTTTTTGAACTTTAATATTGCTGCAGTATTCAATCAGATGAAAATATATAAAAGACTCTATCCCAAAAAATTTTGCTATATCAGATTAAATTGCAGTATATTTTAAGAAAAAAAAAATTATTTAAAAAATTGCAAAGCAACCAAAAAGAAATTGAGCCGAAAGAGAAACACTAAAAGCACTTCTTACCGCTCTATACTTCTCAATCTCAGCTTGTGCTTCTTGCTTCGCTTGCTTTAGACGTTGAGCTTTACGTTTCCGTGCTTCATTAATCTTTTCCGCAGCTCGTTTTTCTGCCGCTAAAAGCTGCTGTATGCCATGTGTTTGGGATGCCATCACAAATCGCTCAACCGAAATGGATCAGATTAATAATTTCTTAAGAATACCACTGTAAAAGTTTAATCTTACAATTAGCACTTTACTTCCCATAAGTTTTATAAACTAATTTTATGAATCAGATTCACTTACATTCGCTCAGTACTAGTGTAAAGTTTCTATTTCAATAGATAGGAAGAAAAAAATGATCACATAAAATTTAAACTATAATTCCTCTTATAAATGAAATTTATGAAATTTTCAGAAAAACAAAATATAGCGCACCAAAAAGGGCAGAATGTAGCAATCGAAAAAGCTAGTTTACAAAACAGTAATATTTATATTCTTCAATTCAAATTTATACTAAAAAAAAAAGTTAACCAATTCTATTCAATTCTAATCGGAACTATTCTCCAAGTTCTCAAAAAGAAGAGTGGTTAAAATCCTAAAAGACACAAAATTTTTGTTTTTCTTGTTAAGTTTCCATGAAAAAAAAAAAAAAAAAAAAACGGAAAAAAAGCAAACAGCTTATATTCTTTTGAGTTATATCTGAAATTACTCATTACTACTAACTATTATTCAGCTACAAATATATAAATACCATAGTGATGAACGAGCATGAATTAGAAAAGAAGTAACATATACGACAGAACGTATGGTAAACAAAATGGCTTATAAAATAAAATTCTTTTATCCATATTACACACTCTTTCGAGGAGTGGAAAACATAATATTATTTCCAAATTTCTTTTAAAAACAATTTTCGAAAGTTTAAAATAAGTACAGACCTAGAGCAGAAACTATTGTGCACCGAAGGAATCTTGGCTTCTCCTTTCTCGCCTTCTTCAATAAAATAAAAGTAAAAATTCAGAGTTGGGAACTTGATCTAAGAAGCAGTTAAAACATACTAAATCACTTCATCTTAATGTATTCCACCTTTAAGCTCCGCATTCGGTAATTCTAGTTATACGGAAAATTACTGAAAAACAATGAAAACAATGTTCCATATCCATAACCCAACATGATAATTGGCTAGCATTTAAAAAAAAAAAAAAAAAAGAATAAAATATCGCTAATGTTAACAAGTTAAAATGCAAAAATATGACTTTTTTTAAACCCGTTGATCAATCACAGTAATATATGTTGGAGGTACATATATAGGCACTTCGGTTTCATCGCCATCGAATAAGCCAACAGCTTGAAAACGACTGATGTCGTAAATCGACGGACAGTAGACAGTGAGTCGGATATTAAAAATCTGAGTACAGCCAAAAGCTATTGTTGCATGCATACGTGAACGATCAGCTATAATCAATGGTTGCAATACTAATGAAGAATGAGCATATGAACTCGATGAAGGTGTGTTTTGCGGTTGAAATCCTGGAACGTTGGTACTTCCCGAATCTACGATCTGCTTTCGAATCAGAGTGGGATCCAGAAAATGAATTGTTACTGTACAACTTCGACGATGCAGAAAATCATCATTCGTTACTGTTATCTGCACTGGTATTTGGCACGACCTGAATATTAAATAATTTCAAAAAAAAAAAAAGCCATATTTTAGACAATAAATATGTAAATTTCTTGAACAATGAATACATAAATTTCATATCAGCAAAATTTACCTTTCATTGCTAAAATTATGATACGTTATGGATGAAGATGTCGATATATTGCAAATAAAAGCAAATAGATTTTTATCTGAAGAAACGCGTTTTGTTTCCAGGAGATTTTGACTCGACTGTTCTATCGAAAATGGACGAAGAATATGATGCGTACAAAACGGCACCGAACAACCAAGCGGAAATGGATTTGGTATAAAGTTCTCACCGAACACTAAAAAACATGATTCTTGGATTGCCTGAACAGAAACTCATTGATTTAATACATTAAAGTTTGACCTCACTTTTTTACTCAAAATTGTAACATGCCATCGATATTTATCAGTCTGCCCAGTAACATGAAACACGATATTTGTCTTGATAAACATCCTTTCAAAAATTTTTTCAGAAATCACTGCTCTAATTGCCACTGTTACACTTTTTTTTTAAACCGCCGAACTGTTCGTCATAATACTAGTAATTAATGATTAATCATAATTACTATTATTATTATCAATTATAATAATAGTAATAAATAATGATAATAGCTTAATGATAAAATTTACCAGTAGAGGTAGTGCCATCGCTATTAACAACATTAGCTTTCCACAGGACTGCAAAAAACAAATCAAGTTCAGGAACTGTTGTATTCTCATCTTCTGTACATTGTTTTGATGAAGATACAGCATCGAATATTTCAGATGGACGGTCAGGAGGACTAGACCATTCCGGAATATCAGCAATTTCATCGCAAAACCATAACGATACTGCTCCTTCATGTCCATTGATCAGAAATGGTATACTGTCTGTTTGTTCACTTTCCAGTTCCACTAAATGTTGAGTTAAAATTACATTTCCAAGAAATTTCACGTTTGAGTAAATAAACAAAACATCTATAATTCTGTAATTGCCAAAAAACTTATTTGTTCTTATTTGTCTAATTTTTCCTATCATTTCTGTCTTATACTACTATATATACTTCCTAATAGAAGCAATCTATTTACCTCGACGCCTTTGCAACGGATGCAGAAAAATCTGCGGTAAAGAATTTTGGCATGTTTTCGAAGTGAGATTTATCTTGGAATGAGCAATCAACAACCGTATTTTAATTAGTTCAATTTTGGCGAGTAAAGAACTACGACTTGGTATAAGATTACGGAGCTGCAAAACGCATGCACCAGTGGCACGATCAACAAGCCTAAAAGCAGAAACAATTACAAAGTTAGATCTATTTGTCAACAAAATAGTTAACAGTATAGACATTTAAGAAATTACCTTAATGAAGTTTCTAAAATTACACGAGCATCAACCATGATTACATGTCGCTGTTCTCTGACCATACAATTATCACCACGATAATAGCAAATCAATAATATGTTAAGTCCAAGAGACTCCGTAGTAGGAGCTCGAACTGCTAACTGTAATCTGAAATTGACAGAAATGACAAAAACAATAGCTTTTTTTTTGGCACCGTATAATAATAAGTGAGCAATTTTTATTGACAACTATATTTAACCTTAATGTAACAAAACGAAAAACTAGAGGATTCCAAACTTTTCTAAAAAATTGAAAGTTTTCTGCATTTTCTCAGAAAAGCAAAATCAAAAACTGCATATATAATAAGACGATGTACAGCTAACTTAACTTTTAAAAAAGAACAAAATTATAAATGTTCAAAAGACGTAAGAATTTTAACCTTTTCTTTTGACCTGTAGCAATAGCGCCATGCTTTAAGTTAAAAACACCAACTGCAACGTCTACAGCAGATGCAGTACATTTCACAGATCGAAATGTACTACTTTCTGGACATTCTTCTTCATAAACTGAAATCAATTCCGGATGATCAGTGACTATGCAAAAAGCTTCCACAGGTACTACACCTATATTGCTCACGTCACAATTAAATCGACAAATTTGGCCACAGAATGCCATTAATCGTCGTTTTAGTGGCAAATCAATTTCAACCAATGGCCACTGCTCTTTTGTTACTTCTGCAGTTAAGCGGTAATCCTCTCCGTATAAGAGTGATGTTTTCTGGAAAAGAATTTATCCTACATTATGTATTCTTAATGTTCTTTTCTTTCAGCATTAATCATATTTACATCAGTGATTTCCTTTACGTACATCTATTCACCAAATTATCATAAAATATTGGAACTTCAAGTCTACAAGTCTACAAAAGAATTTTTGTTCTCAAATTTTATTACTGTCTAATAGACAGTTTCTAAATTAATGTCTTAGAAAAAAAATCAACACAAACTTTTCGAAAGTTAAAGTATCACTCTGGAAATTTAACCTCTTTCTTGGAGTTATTCATTCGCGGTCCACGAATGTTAAGTGGAGTCGAGTATGTAACATTGATTTCGTCAACTACGAGATTAAAAGACAAACTGTGTACTCGCATCCTATCAATATCTTTTTTAGGAACAACAGATAATTCAAGAGGAATCCAATCACACTTCGGTTCTAAAGTAATCTGAAAAGAATTGATTAGCTTAGATTATGGCAAAGGGTGGCTTTCTTGAAATTTCGAATAAAAGTTCGAAAAGCACAGGTGTTGACAAAGAAGCTAAATTTATGATACTTTCGATGCACTTTACAGATATTCTAATTTCACGTCTGTTAAAATGCAGGATAAAAATACATAAGCAAAAACGATGAACAAAGGATAAATTGCAACTAACTTTGTCAGTAAAAGTTTGCAAATACATCGTCGGTTCAGCTAATACTTCCAAATGAATATTTTCCAAAATCAAGGGAATATCCAAAGGATTTTTTAACGAGAGTATTATTCGCATTCTTTCCAAAGGTGGAGCAAAAGGTACCTAAATTATAAATGTATGATTTATAACAAAATCCTAAACAAACCTAACAAAAATATTGTAAAAGAAGTTAATTTAAATGATTAAAATGGGAAAAATGAGTTTTACTGCCAACATTATGTTACGACGAACAAAACTTGAACCTTAGAATTATCTGTAGAAGCTGTACGAACAGTCCCTGTTTCTCGAAAACCAGCAAAAGAACCTGTTATTGCGAAATACGCAGCCTTTTGACAAATTTACCCATACGTCCTTATTATTCTTCTGAAAAAGAGTGAAAAAATTCATAGCTCCAGGTGAGAAAGTTTTTTACAAGCATATGACTACAAGATGAGAAGAAAGGAAATGAACGAACCAAAGTTTCCATATTTGTGATCAATTCAGGTATTAATTCAATCGGACGTTCTCCGTAAATGACAACAATATTTTGAATATCTACTAGAGGTACTACCATCACCTCATGAGTTCGAGTACTGTTACAGTGTTTCAGAAGTTGCAAGTAATGTTTGAGAAAAAGTTGTTGCTGATCAGGGTGTTGCACTGATTGAGATTTTATCAAAGGTAAGCACCACGACAAGGCTTCTTCTTTCTGATCACTTTCATTAGCTAATGTATAAAGAATATGATCCTAAAATATCATATTATTTAATCAAATCAATACTAATGCTTAACATAGCTATACCTCTACACTACTGTTGGGTTTGTGACAATCAATACACGCTTGTATTTCGTGAAATTCTTCTTAACTCTTATAGAAATAATAGTAAGAAGAAATGCTTCTTATAAATTCAGATAATCCTTAGTTTTCTAGATAAAATCAGAATTTTTTACCAATCAATCATTTTAAAACGCTGATATGCCCCTCACTCTTATCTACTAGCATTATCTGGAATACTCTGCAGGTTGATGTGGATTTCATAAGCATAAATTCCTTCAAACTGGAATTCAGGCACTTACTTCTGCAAAAACCCAACGTTTGGAAAGATATTCAGGAAGAGCACGCTTATAGCATTCCATGGATAATTGTTTCTGACCAGCCTTAGACATGCGATGTCCAGCTAATACGTAATGAAAAGCCATTTTTCGACGCATCTTGGCATTTCCGAAATAAACACTTGCCCTTTCCAGCAAAACACCGCTGAATAAGTCATCATCCTGTCAAAGAAATAATCATTTTTTTCGTAACTAATTCTTCTATAGTTTATGCTACATAGTTTAAAAAAAAAAAACACTTCTGCTCCAATTCAAAACTTAACATTAGCAGAAAAAAAAAATGAACTAACCGAATTCGTTAGTTTCAGAAGTTGAGTGCATGCTTCGACATATAATTCCAATGTTGAGAGTATTAATGCACTTAAAATAGCAGCTCGCATTGTTAAGACTGGTTTTCTGGAAAAATATTGGACTCATCAATTTAAAGAAAATGTTACATGACAATTCTTGAAAACTTTATGTTTAAGTTCATCATGTTCATTTTTGACCCCTTCCTCTTCCTCTACCTTGTTTATTTTTTTCTTCTTCCATCCCTCATTCATTTTCCCGCAAATAACTTCTGAAGTGTTGAATGTAAAAAAATGAAAGAAAATAAGAAATTGGTTTTGTCAGTGTCTGAAAATTTTTAACAGTTACAGGCTAACTGTTGTATAAAAGTTGATCGCATCGTCCATGTAATGTTGTGGATATTGCTTCGCAGTAATATGAGATGTACTTAAAAATAAACTTAATGCTGCCATTTCCTGAAATAGAAACGATATTCAATTCTTTCGCGAAAATTTGTAATCCTTTACTATCGAAAGTATCGAAATTATGACCCCATTTCTAATTTAATTCAAAATCTTCTTAAAAAAAGGCAACTGATACTCACAAGTGCTCCAGCATTGTACAGCCAAGCCTGATCCACAGCAAATTCTTTCCTAACCGTCTGGTAAAGTTGATATGCATAAGAGTAAAGCCCAAAAATAAAACAAAGATCGGCTAGTAGTCTAACTTGCATTTCGCCACTATCTCGTGCATAACTAAAATTAAAACTGCTTGTATTTTCTATTTAAAATAAAACTTTGACTCATGCATTATCTATGTGAAAGAAATTTTTAAAACTTTAGCCTATTAGGAAAAAAATAAATTATGAAAGAAAAAGCTTTGTAAAGGTACTTCGATACTGAATAAAAAAAGCTAACACTGAAACAAAAAAGAATAACAAAACTAGAAGAACCAAAATCACAATCAATAATGAAAAATTGCAATCAAAATGTAAAAAGTTTTCATACGTTATTGATGTAGCCTGTTGAGTTGCTGCTGTTCCAAACCACTTCCGTACCCCGGTAGTTAACGATTTACTTATTCCTCGACGCGCAATGGCTTGTTCATTAAGAGTGCGCATTTGCCGCTCTACCCATGGTAATAGAGCATTGTGAATCATATATTCCATCATTTTTGTAACACTTTCACGATCATCATAGCTGAGATACTGTCCATGAAGTACATTGGAAACAGAGTCAAAACTGGCAAAGCTATCATTATTCTGCTCTGTTACAGATGAATCATTTGATGAGATCTGGAAAAAAAAAAAAAAAAAACCGTTTTAAAATGAAAGTGAAAACTATAAAAAATTTCGAATTCTATTAGTAGATGAAACTTATGCATTTCTATAAATATATATCCATATAAACTTACATAAGTAACTTAACTATCTAAAACAAACATCTATTATAGAAAACCAGAACAATTCTGAAAATAAAAAATGTTCTATAAGACCAAAAATTCTGTGAGCAAATTCGTATATGCTTCATGTGCATTTTCACTGAAAGGGAATCTTGATTGCTTATTGGTTTGGTAGTTCTCAGAGCAAAGATAATAAATTTCAAAATTACTGCTAAATCAATAAGCAAACAAAGTTCCTCTGAAATACAAATAAATCGATTTCGTATGAAACGGTACTAATTCGTTAGCAAAAAGAAAAAACGAGAACATACCAAGCCATCAGTTAATCCCACTGTTTTTGAAAGAACTTTATACTTAGCAAGTTGTAATCCTTTTTTCAATCCACGATATTTCGATTCCAAATGTGCACGCCACGGATCCGTTAATTCATCATCATATTTTGAATTCATTTTGAGCAAGTAACAATTCTGAATACCGAACTGCGTAGTAATTGCTGAAAACACTGAAGACGACCTAAAAAGATGAAAATACATTTCCTTATTGGAATTTATGATCCTGGCACTAACTGTTTCTTGAAGGACTAAAAAAAAAAACCAAAGGTGCTAATGATAGCTACTGGTTTCTATTACAAACTTGCTCAAATCAGTAATGCATCCTCAGGTTAGACCAAGAAGTTATGCAAAGTGACTCCTAATAAAAACAAACTTCAGGAATGGAAAGACAACCGATCACCTCGACGATCCATTTCCTGACGATTCGTCGTCTAGAATTAAGAAATATTTGAAAATGTTTGGAAGCATCCATCTGGGCATTGCACAGTACGCCGGCCCAATAGCAAAGGCATTCTGTCCACACTGCAACATAAATTACGTTAAAAATGTTGAAAATCTATGTTAAAAATCTCTAAATCTATGTAAATTCTCAACCCCAAGAATAAGACCTAGATTTAGAAACAGCATTCTGCTGTTTCCTTCTTAATCTTATCTTTAACTGAAATTTTATAACAGATAAAGAGATACGAAGCGATTAACGAGAGAGTCAAAAATGAAATGATGACAAAAAGTGCAGAAAAAATGGTAAGGGAGGTAACACTATAAAATACATGCCAATTGAGTGTTTTAAATAGAAACTTTAAATATTTCAAATAGAAATTCGCAGTCTAATTACACGAATGTCTCCTTTTATCATCAAACTATACGATCTAACTTTCCATCAAGGTGTTCATAATATTCAGTTATTCACTATTTTTAATGTAATGCTTCGTCCACTTTCAGACTTGCTTTAAGAAGGTCAAAATTTTCAGCTTGCATATTTTATTATCAAAAACTATTTATATGACGCACAGATATCTTAGAATATCTCTTATGAATTGTGAAGTAAATTTTTTGATTCATTTCAGAATGTAATATGATACTGTTGAAAAAACAAATCAGTAGTTCCACATTTACATCTCATAAATAATAAACCTAAATGTACACATATATACGCACACTGCAGGCAGACAGCACACATATACCCATAAAACATCAATTTAACTGGTCGGCTGAAAAAAGGGGAAGAATCGATCGAATCATGATTATTGGACTATTGATTTTATTTTCACTTTGTCTTTTCATCGTTTACAGTGACTGAACTGTGTATACAATCCAAATATAATCTGATAATGCAATAGTGAATCATTCAGGAAATTACTGTTTACTAATGTTAAAATACCAATGAAATTAAACGTAGTACTTCCTGTGCTTTACAGGAAGTGAATATTTATGAACTGGTTAGTATATAATAAAATTCCTACAAATTAACACAATTATTTACTATTTTCTCTCCAATTATTAAATATTGATTGAACAAATCAGAAAAACTTTTTTTTAGAAACAAATAACTCTGTTAACTTAATAAATATATACTATTTATTAACCAGTATTTATTTCCCCAAAAAATATTCACTTTCTTTCTGGCAAAACCATTTTATTTCATTTACATTCATGCAAATGCAGTGCAAAACGTCAAAAGGAACCATTCATATAGACATTGGTTAATGATGCTACCGAATCGTACCATCTTTTTTTTTTCACGAAAAAGAAAAAATCTACTTCTAAACTGAAAATGTTAAGGCTTACCAGCAATCAAAATGTAATTTCTGGAAAGTAATAAAATATAATAAGCATAAATTCAATATGGCTAAATAAAATAACTTCAAAACCTCAACAATGCTATTAAAATCGCCC